CACAAGACACACATTTAGTTCCAAGACACGGGAAACTTAACATAAGCAAGGGTAGCAGATATCACTTTCGAAATACCGTTTTAGTCATGCATCAGCATAGCACAAGCAAACTAAAACAAAACAGTGAATCACCGGCCAAATCCGGCAGCATTGAGACCAAGCAGCATCTTTCCGTCCCCCCCAGCAGGAATGTATGCCACATTCGGTGAGCGAGCCAGCTCTGCAGCAATCTCCTTGGCCGCCTCGATCCTCCTGAGCTCGATCAGCCCTGTCCCAGCCATCGCCGTGGCCTCAGAGATGAGGCGCGCGGACTCGCTCTCTCCCTCGGCGCGCACGATGGCCGCCCGCCTCTCCTGCTCCGCCTTGGCGACGAGGAACTTGGAGCGCTCGGCCTCCTGCTGCGCGACCTGCTTCTTCTCAACGGCCAGTGAGAACTCGATACCGTAGGAGAGGTGGGTGATGGCGACGTCGTCGAGGATGATGTTGAACTCGCGGGCGCGGCGGATGAGCGCGTCGCGGACGAGCGCGGAGACGTGGGGGCGCTCGGTGAGGAGCTGGTCGGCGTTGAACTGGGCGACGACGGCCTTGAGCACCTCGTTGCCGATGGAGGGGAGCACCTTGTCGTCGTACTCGAGGCCGAGGGAGGTGAAGATGGTGGGGAGGTGCTGAACATCGGGGCGGGAGAGGAGGCGGAGCGTGAGGTTGACCATCTGCAGGTCCTTGGTCCCCGAGTTGGAGGAGAAGTTGTGCGGCCGCGTGCGGATGTCGAAGATGAAGGGCTTCTGCAGCCATGGCACGAGGAAATGGGTGCCCTCGCCGACGGACTCCGGGAGCACCCCGCGGAACCGGTCGAAGATGACGGCGCGCTCGCCGCCGTCGACGGTGTAGAGCGACGCGGAGGCGAGGGAGGCCGCGGCTCCGAGCCCCGCAGCCGCCTTCGCGATGTTGGTCAGGAACGACACCGCCGCAGGACCGCCGGCCATGGTTGTTTCGGGGGGATTTGGGAGCGCGGCGGCGCGGGGACGAGAACCCTAGAGAGGGGTGGGGGGTTGTGTCTGGGGGGCGGGGGCGCTATGCGGATCTGAGCGTGGCGGGTTCTAGCGGGTTTTGCAGGGGGTTATTGCGCGTTGGGTCCGCCCATTTCTTGCGAGATAAGAAGGTCGGAAGCGGCGGTCTGTGTCATGGCACGTGGGCCCGTCGACAATTTTTGTGGATTGGGAGAGAAGAAAGAAAACCTGTCTGAGTTTTGCGTTGGAATTGGACTTGACTCACGGAGAATGGGTCGCTTTGTGGCCCATTAGAATGACAAAGCCCGTCCCGTTTCGCTAAATGGGCCTAAGACCCAACACTGCTGGTTCGTAAGTCCATGGGCTAGTCGCCAGCTGGTCCTTCGGCGCAGGGACCGTGCGCGGCCGTGGTACGCCATGGGCTATGTGCCTATGTCTACACTCTATTGCCAAGTCTGCAAATCTGCAAAGTGTTTAAACACCGACGCCGTGGTGCCGGGAGCGCACGCGTGCTCACTTACGAAGGAGGTGGTCTGAGCCTGACCGGCCGCCGCGGGAGAGCGCACCGCACTAGTATAACGAGGAGGCGGCGCAGCGCTGTTCCGGAGGGGACACACATCGCCTGCACGGCACGTGGTGGGACGCACTTGCCAAGTGCAGCTGCTGAGGCTGGCCGGGGCTCCACTACACACCACCCATTCTTCCGCGGGCCGCCGGTTCCGGGCCGGCCAACGCCCCCACGCACCCGCCCCAGCTCTTCCCACGACGGACGGCGCTGATCTGATGTGCACGTCAACCCGGCCGGCGGGCGTGGACCCTCGACGCAGCGAAAAAGGCGATCGAATCGACCGATCAGGCCGTGCAGGAGGAGCGCGCCCTCGCGCTCGCTGCATCGTGCCGAAGGCCGAAGCCGGCATCAGTTACTGCTCCGCACGACGCCTGCCTGCCGGTGCCTTGCCGTGCACACCAGTTCCTTCCTCTGGACGCGTCGCTTCCTGTTCGTGTGCCTGCCAGCTCGTGAACCCGCCCGGTACACTGCTGCTATCACTGTGACCCTGCACGACTCGTCCCTTCAGAGTTTCAGATCCAGCGGCCTCAAAGCAAAGGCAAGCGGCTTGGCTGCCCGGAAGAACGGGAAGCGATCGAGCCCATGCAACGAATACACACACGGTACAGTGCCGCCGAGCTGTGCCGCCGGCGATCCGGCGAGACCAGCAAGCAATAATGCGAGGGCGGGCATTATTGCCGGGAAATCGCGCACTGATTGTTGTGGACTCGTAGTGGGGGGAGCGACTCGGCTCCATCGACCCGCCTTTCTTTTTATAAAGCCTGACAACTAACTTGACAGGCCGTGCATGATCTATCCAGCTCCCCAGCATCGTCTCTTCTTTATTTCCTTCGAGGATAAGAGGATTTAGGCCCAGTTTAGATCCGAATTTTTTTTGCAAAATGCAAATGTAGCGTTTTTCGTTGTTATTTGGCAATTAGTGTCCAATCATAGTCTAATTAGGCTTAAAAGATTCGTCTCGTGGATTTCGTCTAAACTGTGTAATTAGTTTTATTTTTTATTTATATTTAATGCTTCATACATGCGTCTAAAGATTCGATGTGACGAAAAATCTTGAAAAATTTGACAAAATAAAGTGGAACTAAACAGGGCCTTATAAGAGGATTGTTAAGGATGGATACGCCATACATGGCTGGAGCTCGTGGTCGGCAAGTACGGCCCATGTTCGTGTTTGCTTCCTCCGCAATATCTCTGTGTTTCGCAGAATCGCAGTGTACAAACGCCAAACCAGCATTACGTCAGTCAAATCGCGTGTGGTTGTCGTCTTCGCCCGACTCGGTCGCTTGTTCAGGAACAAGTCGGTCTGAGCTCTGGAGGGTGGTTGCCTATGAGGCTGTGACGACGCCGTCACTGACTGCAGAGAAACAGTTTTTTGCAGCTTGTGATTTGAGGTCGTTATTACTCCTGTTGGAGTACATGACCGATGCATAGCGTTCAGCCTGTGTTTAAGGCTTGTTTAGATTGTAAATTTTTGTAACTTGGATATTGTAGCACGTTTCGTTTGTATTTGATAAACTTTGTCCGATCATGGACTAATTAGGCTTAAAAGATCCATCTCGTGATTTACAACCAAACTGTGTAATTAGTTATTTTTTTTACCTACATTTAATACTCCATACATGCGTCCAAAAATTGATGTGATGGAGAGAGAGTGAAAAAACTTGGAATTTGGAGGTGATCTAAACAAGGCCTAAGTTCGCGAAATGAAAATTTTTGAATGTCACATCGGATGTTTTAGGACGTGGGAAGAGGTTTTCGAATACTAATAAAAAAAACTAATTACATAGCTTGTTTGGAAACAGCGAGACGAATTTATTAAGCCTAATTAATCCATTATTAGCGCATGTTGGTACTGTAGCACTTATGGCTAATCATGGACTAATTAGTCTTAAAACATTTGTCTCGTGATTTTTAACCAAATTATGCAATTAATTTTTTTCGTCTATATTTAATACTCTATACATGTGCCGCAAGATTTGATACGATAGTTTAGGGTGAAAATTTTTAGGAAATAAAGGCCTCGGTCAATGCAGCGAGCAGGGGTAGTGGCACAAAAGCAACTCTGTGGTTCGTGGTGCAGTTGGTAGGTGACGAGACATGACACGCACGTAATCCTGTTCGCTCGTTGGTTCTAGGACCAATCCAACAAACCAGCGCTAGACTTATCGATCTAGAAACCGATCAGAACCTGCCGACGAAATCAATCAGCTGGGACGATCGCACGCGGGGCTGGAGCTTAAGCCCTTGTTTAGTTGGACCCTAAAATTCAAAAAGTTGCTACAGTATCTGTCACATCGAATGTTTATAGCCCGTGCATGGAGCATTAAATGTAGACGAAAAGAAAAACTAATTGCACAGTTTGGTGGGAAATTGCGAGACGAACGTTTTAAGCCTAATTAGTCAATGTTTGGACACTATTTGCCAAATAAAAACGAAAGTGCTACAGTAGGCTCAAAATCCAAATTTCGCGAACTAAACAAGAGCTAAACTTTTCAATTGAACACCATTCAGGTACTAGAGGTAAAGTAATTATACATGAGACTTTTTTCTGTGTGTCATTATAAAAGATCTGTGTGTTTCTGGAAAAATTCAACGGTCTTCAGCGCCACTACTCTAACTTTTTCGGGTCTTCCATGCCACTTCCGTTAGTTAGAACTCTAACACAGTCAAAATGCTGCAGTGTGTGAAAAAAGGCGAAAATGCCCTTAAGTTCAAATATGTTATTATGCATCTTATAAAATTTACTTCAAATGAAAAAACTACAAAACTAAATAAATTTGATATGATTAATATATCTATAATTTTCATATAAATTTTTTTTCATTTAATTCTACAAAAAAATATGATTTGATATGAAAATTAATATATCTTAGAAAAATCATCATATTTCTAGTTTTGAGTTAAATAAAAAAGTCGTATATAATGCATAATAACATATTTGAACTTATTAGCATTTTCGCTTTTTTCACACTGCAGCTTGACGGACGCTTTGAGCCTGAACTAACGATGAAGCGGCATTATGACCAAAAAAACGAGTAGAGGCTAACAAGACCGCCAATTTTTTCGTATATATACTGAGGATTTCGATCTTTTATAATGGCACGCGAAGAAAAAAGTCTCATTATACATTATTGCATGACTGCATCAAGGCTTTTCCTATCACCACCAATTCAACATCATCAGCACACTCACCGCTGCTAAAACGAAAGAATTCATCTGAGGACGAAGAAGTGTTAAGAGATTCATGAAACTTCAACAAAGAATAAACAGCACACGACAAACGCCCTACGACAAACGCAAGAAGACAGAACAGAAAGATCTCTTTGTTTTTCTTCTTCTTCCGAACCTTCCATGAGTTACCGAATGACCACTACGCTGCTGCCTGACAAGTGACAAGAACACAGGTGATCGAACGGACACGGACCTCAGCTCTGGCGGATCGATCCGGTGGTCCTCAGCGGCCGGTCGTCCGCCTCGTCCATGGACGCGCTCCGGCCGGACCGCGCCGCCGTCGACGCCGACGCCATGCCGCCGAGCGCCTCGATGCGCGCCACGATCTCGGGCATCGCCGGCCGCTGGTCCGGGGCGGGCTCAGTGCAGTCCATGGCCAGTCGCAGCATCTCCACCATCTCCTCCTCGGGTACCGGGTGCCTGAGCAGCTCCATGTCGAACACCTCGGACGTCCACTCCTTCTTCACCACGGAGCGCGCCCACCGCGGGAGGTCCACGCCTTCGTCGTGCAGCACCGCGTGCGTCGGCGCCTTCTCCGTCAGCAGCTCCAGGAGCAACATGCCGAAGCTGTACACGTCGGCCTTCTGCGACACCCGGCGCGGGTCCGCCACAACTTCGGGCGCGCGGTACGCCGTCAACGCACCCGCGGGGCCGACGAGGTGCGCGAGCCCATGTTCGGCCACGCGCACGTCCACGGTGCGGCTGAGGAGGATGTTGGAGGACTTGATGTTGCCGTGCGTGGCCATGGAGCCCGTCGCGTGGATGTACTCGAGGCCGCGCCCCGAGGCCAGCGCGATGCGCCTCCTCGACTCCCAGCTCAGCGGCGACCGGCCGGAGCCGCGGTTGCCTGCAATTAGGAACCCCGTCAGAAAACCTGATTCAATTCGGTCATCAAAACAGAGAGGGGTCGGTTGACATCGACAAGAACGAACAGAGCACGTACCGTGAAGCATGGAGGAAAGGCTGCCCATGGCCACGAACTCGTACACCATGAGCTTCTCGTCCTTGCTGAAGTAATAGGCCTGCAGGGGCACGACGTTGGGATGGTCGATCCCGCCGATGGCCGCGACCTTGTCCCGGAACTCGCGCTCCGGCAACGAGGTCTCCTTGAGGCGCTTCACCGCCATGACCGGCCCAGACTCGATCGCGGCCTTGTACGTGGTGCCGTACGTGCCCTTGCCAAGAACCTCGGCGGACGCGCGCAGCAGGTCCTCGAGGTCGTAGGGCCGAGGAATCCTACCGAAGAAGAAAAGCTTCTTCCGTCCCGCGGCTGCGGCTGGTGGGACTGAAGGCAGCGGCGGTCGCGCGTCTGAGACGCGTGGAGTGTAGCCGTTGGGGCTCATTGCCTCTTTGCTGTGCAGGGCCAGCTCCGCCGCAACGGCGTCATGGTTGCGGTAGGTTGGTCTCGGCTCCCGGCGCAGCGCGCCACACGCGAGGACGAGGACGGCCGCGATGAGCAGGAAGCCAAAGGCGCAGCCAATCACAATGCCAGCGATGGCGCCGCCGGCGAGGTGATGCCTGCCTCGTCCGCGGCTGTCAGTCGTCGGGGCCGGTGCTTCGGGCGGGAGCGTGGGAGACTGAGAGGACGGCGCTTCCGAACTCGGCGCTCGGCACGGTGGGAGGGGCTTGCCGCACAACGGCATGCCGAGGAAAGACGTGGCCGGCATGCCGCCGAAGCTCGTGGGTATCTCGCCGCTGAGGTTGTTGAAGGAGACGTTGAACGAGGTGAGCGACGGCATGCTGACATTCGGCAGCTCACCGGTGAGGCGGTTGCCGTCCAGGAAGAGCAGCTGCAGCCGCCCGTTCTTGGCAATGGCCGGCGATATCCTCCCCGAGAAGCGGTTCTCCGCGAGGTTGAGCTGCGTCAACGCCGGCAGCGCCAGCACCTCCGCGGGGAGCTCGCCGGAGAGGAGGTTGGACTGCAAGTTGATCACCCGGAGCTCGACGCAGGAGGCCAGGTCCCGAGGCAGCGGGCCGGAGAGCGCGTTGTACCGCAGTGACAGCACGGCGAGCTTGGTGAGCCCGCCGAGCGGGCCGACGGGGAGAGCGCCCCGGAGGCCTTCCCCGGGCAGGTGGATCTCCGTGACGCGGCCCCCGGTGCAGACGATGCCCGTCCAGGAGCAGGCCGGCTGGGACGAGTTCCACGACACGGTCGCCGACCCGAACGGCGCGAGGAAGGCCTGCAGCGCCGCGGTGTCCGAGGCCAGGTCGTCGGCGCCCCGGGCCGCGCCGGCCGCCAGGGCCAGCAGCAGCACGGCGGCGGCGCGCGGCGGGAGCATGGCTGGCTGTGTCGCGCCGCGCCTTCTCTTTCCACCCCGGGCGGCCTGATCACACCATTCGGGGGGCAGCTGCTGGGGAGGAGAGGAGGAAGACCGGAAGAATGGAAACAAGACAGTCGGATATCGGAAAGAAGCTTTTTTCCGGCGCTGCGCTGTTTAGGTGCAGCTGGGGGGGTGTGGGTGCGGCGCCGCGAGCTCGCAACGGTGCGTGAATTGTGATCCACGGTGAGATTTGGACGGTTTCTGCACCGCCGGATGGAACGTTCTATGGCCCTGATGCAAGAGTCTTGGGCAGTGAGAAAAAAGGGGAGTTGCTACGTGCTGAATGAGAAACAGATGTCAATCTGAGCTGGAATCGTATCGATCAAATCAACAAGTGTGTTAGGCAATGTTTGGTATGACAGACAACAACCTACATAAATCATGTACCGCATCCCTCCTACTTGTAATAAAGAAAGACGATCCTAATCCAGCTCGCTTGATGGACGGACGTCACGCAACTTGGCGCGTCGCGGCGAGATGCACGCCAAGAGTTGTTCTGCTGCCGTGGCACGACCAAGAGAGTAAACGGGCGCGGCGAGCTCGACCGGATCTTGGAGCCATAACCGTCAGCGCTGGTGGGTGGCCAGTAAATGTCATGATGGGGTTGATGGCGTAGTCGTCGGGACTGTTTCGCAGTAATCACTGTCACCATAGATGCAGCAGTGGTGCTAGCTCCCAAGCTACCGACGTCAACCGCCTTTCGTTTCTGTTAAGGCCATGTTTAGGGCTTGTTTAGATGCAAAAAATTTTACAAAATGAATACCGTAGCGTTTTCATTGTTATTTGGCAAATAGTGTCCAATCATAGTCTAATTAGGCTTAAAAGATTAAATCTCGTGGATTTAAATCTAAACTGTGTAATTAGTTTTATTTTTTATTTATATTTAATGCTTCATGCATGTGTCCAAAGATTCGATGTGACGGAGAATGTGAAAAATTTTGCAAAATTTTTTGCAAACTAAACTGGACCTTAGATCCCACCCAAAATCCAAAAATTTTCAAGATTTTTCGTCACATCAAATCTTGTGATATATGCATGGAGCATTAAATGTAGGTAAAAAGAATAACTAATTGCACAGTTTGCCCATAATTGACGAGCCGAATCCTTTAAGCCTAAATAGTCCATAATTTGACAATTTTTGTTAAATACAAACGAAAATGCTACAGTAGCTTAAAAACTAAAAAATTTCGCATCTAAATAGGGCCTAAGCCGTGCCGTGCAGTCAGCCACTGACAGAAAGCGGAAGCACTTCCCTTTTCGTCCCTTCCAAAACCAAATTCCTAAAAAATGCTATAGTAACCATCACATCGAATCTTGCGATACGTGTATGGAGCATTAAATATAGACGAAAAAAACTAATTGCATAGTTTGGTTGGAAATCGCGAGACAAACATTTTGAGCCTAATTAGTTCATGATTGAACACTAATTGTCAAATAAAAATGAAAGTGTTACAGTAGCCAAATTCTCAAATTTCACTCAACTAAACACAGCCTCACTCATCTGCACGCACCGTTTTTGAAAGTGTGACACTGTCAAGCTGATGCAAAGCGTAGGCACGCGCAGGCGAGGTGAAAAGCCTGTTCGTTTGCTCGTAAACGATCGTAAATTTCCAGTCGAGAATAGTGTTTTTCTCTCACACTAAACCAGCCAGCTGTAAATAATCCACGATACGATACGACCTTCCGAACAGGCTGAAAATCTGGAGAGCAAAGACAGACGACCGTCCAGCGGAAACTCCCGAACAGGCTGAAAATCTGGAGAGCAAAGACAGACGACCGTCCAGCGGAAACCCCTTTCAGCTGGACCGTCAGTTGCCTTCTGCCCTACTCGGCTGGCCTGACCTCGACGCGTATGCGGTGTGCACGCCATGAACGGTGCAGGATCACAGAGCATCCGGTGAGTGCCTGCCAGAGAGGGAGAATCTACGCCTTCGTGGACTTTGTTCCTGCACGAATACGTTGACTTTTTCGTATGAGACCATTTTCGGTTGGCGGGGCCCCCGCCCTTCAACTTCGACCCCTCGTTTTCCTTCTGTGCCAAGCAGAAAGGTTCTGCTGATGCGACCGCCATCTCCTGTACGCGGTTTGGGCGTCAGCAGCGTGGCTGTACGCACGTACACACATGTGCTGGATGTACGCGTGCTAAATTACGTTTGTTTTGCTTGCTGTATAAGCAAGGGCTCCGCGTATACAAGTACAGCCTTCATAAAATTTGCTTAAAGGGGCATCATCACCTGAGATACTGTGGGCACAGAGTACACCAGAGAATAATCGCTTAATCTGACGATATAAAGGTTGACAATTCAATTATATGCCTCTAAGTTATGCCATGTATGAATATTTCGTTTTTTCTTTTTTTTGTTTGATTGACTGGCGTGCGACGCGTGTTCTATGTACAGTACCAAATGAACAGCTAGTTTCCTTCTGTACAGGATTATTGAGCTCTCCGTTCTTGTATAGATTTTTTAGCAGATTGTATAGATTGCCAGATTGGGAGCAGCATCGGCATTCACAGTAAACGTGAGCCCAGCATTCACAGTGCACAGTGCCAGATTGTCAGTTTGGGATCATGCGCGTGTTCAGTTCCACCCAAAATTCCAAAAAGTGCTATAGTACCTGTCACATCGAATGTTTGCGGCATATGCATAAAGCATTAAATATAGACGAAAAAAAAACTAATTGCACAGTTTAGTGGGAAATTGCGAGACGAACGTTTTGAGCCTAATTAGTCCATGTTTGAACACTAATTGCCAAATAAAAACGAACGTGCTACAGTAGCCCCAAATTCCAACTTCCTGGAACTAAACACGCCCCCGGTAGGGTGCACTAAGATTTTTGCAATCAGGTCATGATTAGTTTCTCCCCTAAAATTTACTCCATATCATATGCATGCATGGAGAATTAAATATAGACTAAAAATAACTAATTGCACAGATTGCGACTAATTTGCGAGGCGATTTTTTAAGCATAGTTAGTCCATAATTTGACAATGTGATGCTACAGTAAACGTATAAAACGACGAACTAATTAGGGTTAATAAATTCGTCTCGCGGATTACTGAGGACTTCTGTAATTTGTTTTATTGTTACTGTCCGAACACTCTCACGTGACACTCGTGGATTACTGAGGACTTCTGTAATTTTTTTTATTATTACTGTGACACCCGATGTGACATCCCTGATTTAAACAAATCAAATCCTGTAGCTGTTGGTAGGAATAGAGTAGGAAAAAAAAAGCAGCAGAGGTCAGTGTGCCTAAACTGCAGACTCTCGTCGCTGTTGGAACAGTCCCTTTGTCCCGAAACGCCTTTAACGCTGGATCTTGGATCGCAAGATGATTTCTGTACTTGAGAAAACGACCGGCCTGGCTGTTGTGGCTAGCTGTCAACGGTAGAGGAGCTCGGAGTAGTAGTAGCAACTACGGCAGACTTTCTATATATAAGTGATCAAAGCATGTTCCGTAACGTATGCACGGTTTCGTACCCACCTTTTTTTATTATAATAACAGGTTAACGTTGCATATGGATGACGAATGCGGTTGGGCTGTATGATCCGTGCTCGGTGGGTGTACCGGAGCGCTCTCTGGCGAAGGACGCGGCTCACTCATGGCAAGGGCACCGCCTCGCTCTACTCGGGTCGGCGCGGCAGCGGCTGGCAACCAACCGGAGGCCAGGGGCCTGAACGGATCCGTCCGCACAGGGACCGGACCGCCTGTCCGCTTGGCGTTTCCAATTCCATCCACCGCGCGGGCGCGGGACAGGACGCCCGGTTCTGTCGTTTAGGCGCGACGAGAGGAACTCGCGGCTCGCGCGGCGCCGGCGGCCGTCCGTGCCGGTTGAAGGGACGGCACCCGAACTGGCGGGGGCGGCCGAAGCGGCGACCGGGCGTAGGGAATGGTGATGAGACTGACGGGGAGTCGATCAGCGTCACCGATCAGCCTTGCCCTTGCACGTTCTCCTCTGCTGCTGGGGATCTCGTCGCGGTCCTGCTGCATGGCGTGGCCCACGCCGGCGGGTTTGGCGGCCACGTTTTGGGACGGTTTTTAACCGCGGCCTTGTTTAGTTGCACCAATTTTGCATCTTCAAAATTTGCACAGTGTAAGATTCTCTATCATATCACATCACATTAAATCTTTGGACACATGCATAGAGTATTAAATGTTGACGAAATCAAAAACTAATTACACAGTTTGGTTGTACTTTACGATACAAACGTTTTGAGCCTAATTAGTCAACGATCGGACAATTATTACCAAATAAAAACAAAAAGATACTGTTGCTACAGTGTTGCGGCGGCGCAAATTCTGCGCAACTAAACACGGCCCGCATTTTCTTTTGGGTTGGGTCTAGGGTTCCACGGTGCCACGGCGGTGGGATCAGGTGGGTTGGCCAGTGTTAGTGAGAATTTTATGAGTCTGTGATATGGTACAATATAAATGAAGAGAGATAATCAAAGTTTTATGAGATAAAATGTATTTTATAAGGATGAAACTATTATACTTTGCTTTCAACATATAATAGTCGTGAAAATTGGGATACGAAACCTTCATTGGGACTAGCCTTGTAATCGGCTGGTACTGGTGCCGACGTCGCCGTGCCCTGTTGCTCGAGAAAATAGATGTCTCATACCTTTTCCTTCGAGGAAAAAAAAGTGTGTTGTCACTCGACGATAGGCATAACTACAATCATTTTGCATTAATGCATTTACTTGTAGTCTTGCAAACCATGACCACATGCAATCGAATATTTTAAAACCTTGATAATGATTTTTATGTAATGCTGCATAAGTGCCCATATATAGGTGTGGATTTCCTAAAGGTGTTTATGTTTGACACATGAAACAAATATGTTTACTGGGCCAATGAAGAGATTGCTAACAAGAGAGAATGTGGGATCCTATATAGTTCATCATGGGCTAAAAAGTTTTAGAGTTCATGGGCCGAGAAAAGGCCTGGAGAGT